CACTTCGGGAATCTAACCCCTTAAACCCATACATAACTGCAGAAGCACCTTATATAAAGGCCAACCCTTGGTAAAGACGACTCGTCCGGTCCTGTACTTCTTAATGGATCTCCGTTCGGCTAATTTACCCCACACTTTTGAAAGGGCCAAGAGCTACCCACATTAATTATAGCCTCAAATACAATGTCGGTACATGAACCCTGAGAATGCCGTACACCCGTCTTGACAAATGGTGGGAAACCCTATTGGCTACAAACAATGTCACAAAAGTGATAACGCAAGAAACTAATGTGGGGAAGTGAGTGATGCCTCTGAAAGTAAGGACAACAAAATATTATTGAGATCCATAATCAAAGAGAAACGGACTACATAATTATTGAATAGTATTCAAAATATACAAGTGCCGATTTACTTGAAAAGAATTTATTTACCTATCGATGAATTGCTGGTTAATTTGGATTTTGAGGTCTTACAGCAGTTCAAGCCAGGTTACCCCTAAAGTATTACTTATAAGTTTATAAAAGAAAATACACTTTATATTCTTTAAGTAGTTAATCAAAATCAAAATTTTATATATGAAAATAAAAATGCTTGTAAATAAAAGTGCAAAATTCTAAAATGACATATATGCATGACAAAAGAATCCCAAGGAAAAAGCAGTCTAAATATACATATTTAGAAGCACCCTTTACATATATCTTGAAAAGACATAGCTTATAATTAACAGCTATACAAAACGCTTCTATTTCCTTCTCGGGTTAACTTGCTAAAACTGGAGCAAGCAGCCATCCAAAGTTGAATGCATCACAAAAGAATCCCAAAACCAAATCAGCTAAGATATAAGGGTATAAAAGTATTCTTTGTACATATTTTGCAAAGCTAGGTCTTACCAATAACAGCTATGCAAAAAGCTTCTATTTCCTAGCATTGCCAGCTGCTTGCGCTCACCTTCTGGAATTGGAACAAGCCTGCACCCAAAGTTGAATCCATCGCAAAAGACTCTCAAGAATACATCAACCTAAACACAAGGGTATAAAGGTATCCTTTACACACATCTTGCAAAGCTATAACTTATTGACAGCAGCTGTGTGAAACCCTTCAGTTTCTTACTCGCGTTCACCTTTTAGAATTGGAACAAGTCTGCACCCAAAGCTGAATCCATCACAAAAAATCTCAAGGTAAAATTAACCCAAACACAAGGGTATAAAAGTATCCTTTACATAGCTTGCAAAACCGTAACCCATTGACAGCAGCTGTGCGAAACCCTCCAGTTTCTTGCTCGCGTCCACCTTCCTAAATGGGACCCTTTAGCGTCTTTGCATTATCCAGCTGCGATTTTTCAGATAATTTGAAGTATTATTTTTATTATATCTTTCCTTATTAGGTCTATTTGAGTCGCATCCCATCAAAGAATGCATGTCGGCAGCAAGACTACAATGACAGCAAAGTAAGACTAAATACAAAGCCAGGTCTCTCGCTTCTATTTTAGCCTTTGGATGTAAGCAGCAGTCACTTTTATTTGAACTGAGGGCGAGCAAACATGAGCAGAACCTGAGCCAATTTGGGATATCAGGAGGATAATCATAAATTAAATATTTTAGCTTCAGTATATAATTAAAATTGTTTATAATAGAACAATCCGGAAGTTCTCGAGCTTATTCAGACGTAAGCGCAGTGTTCGACGATGAAAAAGTACCCCAAATGCGAGCCAATGTCTGTCTCCTCTCTTTGCTATCTTCCTCTTATATCCTGCTCGGCATAAATCAAAGCCCTGCCAGTCATTGAGGCAGAGCGACCAATTGTCCATCGTTGCGAGCATCGAGCATCGAGGACGGCAAAAGCGAACGTCGATCGATCCTCGAGCAGTGCTCGTACAAGGGACCCCGCTTCCTAAAATGGACATTCGCTTCGCTCGCATGGTCACGCATAGGTTCGGATCATGTCTAGCTTTACTATTGGTAAGCAGCTATGCATTTCCGATATCTAGAAGAGCGGATAGGCAGCGGGCGAAAGGACTTTGTTGCTCTCCAACCTGTCGATAAATAGAGGCATCATTCCCGTGTTGAACTCACTCCTAGTTCTCTCTTTATAATCTACAATATTCAGAAGCATAATTCATTCTACTCCATCTAACATGTCTTCGTCTAGTCCATCCACCCAAGTCCTTGGCGGCATCACCGTGCCAAAGACCCCAGCTATCACAGCAGCCATAGCTTACGCTCGAGCTCACTCCGACGACCTCACCTACAACCATATCATGCGATCCTTCCTCTTCGGCTTCTGCATTGCATCCAAGCTCCCAGACCTTCAAGCTCGAGACACCGAAGTCCATGCCGTGAGTGCGATCATGCATGACTTAGGCTGGGACCCGACCGGAGAGTTAATCTCGCAAGACAAACGCTTCGAAGTCGACGGCGCGGACGCAGCTCGGAGTTTCCTGCGTCAGTTTCAGGAAGAGAAAGGAGGGGATACATGGGATCAGCCACGGCTGCAGCTGGTCTGGGATGCGATTGCGCTACATACGTCTTTTAGTATCGTCAAGTACAAGGAGCCGGAGGTGGTAGCCACGTGGATGGGTATCTTGGCTGATTTCACGGGGCCGGATAATTCTCCTGAGGGAACGTTGACTTGGGCAGAGTACGAGGGTATTGTGAAGGAATATCCGCGTCTGAAGTTGGTCTCTGGGATGAAGGAGATCTTTTGCGGACTCTGCAAGACGAAGCCGGAGACTACTTATGATAATATGGTTGGCACTTTTGGAGAGAAGTATGTTGAGGGATATACCTTGAAGGGTAATACGGCTGTGGATATGTTTGAGACTTGTCCTTTACCAGATTCTTTTTGAGATAGAGTGGAATGTTGTCCATTCTATAGGAACAATTTTTCAACTGAATACAATCGTCATTTGGTTCTACTTCGCTCTCTGATATTCCGACGACTCGAGCGGTTTTGAGACGAGGATTTATTGTTCATCGCCGTCTTTGATACCCCGGTATTCTCTGATGATCCACGTTGGGAAAATAGTACGGCAAAAACCCTCAGTAACGCCAGAAGAACGTTCTGTAGTGTGCTTAAATGCAGGAAATGATGATGCTTCGTCCATGTAATTGGCGATTTGCGCTGACCGTATGGGTAAATGAGCACTCCATATCGGAAGGTCGGCTCCAGGGTCTAACAATTTGCTTAATGTAGTACTGATCAGAAGTTGCAATGACCAGCATTCGACTTGTAGCAAGGCGAAGTCAGTGGTTGGGAACTTCGATGTTGAGAAGGAACAGAGACAGGAGAATTGGGCTGGAGCTTGGCAATGACATCTAATTCGATGATGCGGGTATGCCTCATTGAGCCATGAGGACTTCCATACACTGAGTTCTGCATCAACCTGCAGGGCTTTGTCAATCTGACTCATTACTGGTGGACCTGAGGAAGGGTCATTTCCTTTAGAGCTGGCTACGATCTCACTGAATACCACCACGAGATCATAAAGCTTATCGCGCCAGGTCTTTGGCTGAGAATTCCAAGGAGTGGTCATCCATTCTTCTGTCAGAAGAAAAGTTTCCTGACGCCTTGTCAATGCTAAAAATACCTACATCACCCCGTCAGCAGAAACTCAACCAAAGATAATTCAACGTACCCCCATTTCCCGAATCTTCTTAAACACAAGATGGAAGCCGTGGAACGAGAAAAAGACTGGCCCGCTTTTTTGCATCAAAGTCAGAGCTCCATCGAAGTGTCCAGACTTCCCCCAACCAAAATTCGCAATATCTTCGGGTTGCATCAAGGAGGCTTCAATCAACGCATAAACCGTCGAAGTCACAGCTAGAATAGCAGTCAAGCCACCATTGTAGTGTTGTTGCATCAGGCGTCGAAACAAGCCAATACTGTTGTTATATGCTGTAAGGCCGAGCACAAGAAGGTCACTGCCAGGCAAATTAAGTGCTAGGCGTTGAGCGCTGAGCGCTACCAGGGAGAGGTCCAGAGCCCTGTTTTGAAGAGCGAGAAATGAGCATCCTGGCGGCCAATAGTCCTTAGTCTGACAATAGCCAAGTAAGAATGTTCTCCATAGGGCTTCGACGTGCTGGGGGAAATTGGCTTGCATGGAGACGACTTGTATCCCGCCCAGTTGAGGTTCACTTTTGGAAGAGGGGGCCGAGGTCTGATTTACAAACGGTTCGTTATGCGGTGTATAGAATTGTTTGTCTGCCGATTTTTTCGAATCCGCAAGAGCTTCGCATAGAAGCCGTTTCTTATTGGGACGCGAAGCGTTGCTAGCATTAAGATTGACAAACGTCCGGATAACGTCCGGAGCATATCCCTCACATTGGCGTTGTGCTTCAGTGCAGATGAGACATCTTGGCAGGGATCTATCACACTACAGATCATCCGCTGAGTCAGATAAGTCCGTTATTATAGAGGATATTTGCGGAGACAAGCTCTAACATACCCATCGTCTTTTTCGCAGACATGAAAGACAAGCTCGTTTCGCCTGCCCCGCTTGATATTGGCTGACTTTAGAATTGTTCATTGGAAGGTATTCGCATCTAGAGAGATGAGGAATTCATGCGAGAGGGTAATATAAATTCCCATTTTTTCGGGCCGATGGAATAGGAATGAGACGCTGAAAGTCGAAATATGGGATACCATAAAGTACACTAGGCTCAGTCTGGTCATTCGCTTCGCACAGCGGATATGCTCTCCAAAATTCACATTGTTGAAGCCTGAGGTAATAAGATCCACTCTTCCGTGACTTCAACTGTTCAACTGGCTTACTATCTCGATTAGCAGTTGCATGCGCCAGAACTATTAGATGAAAGGATATAATTTTTAATACGCTGCAGTATGATGTCATCGTAACTCTAACAAAGATGGTGTATGAATTAGCCCAGTTTGGCTTAGATAATCCTCGGTGTGCTAAAACAAGTAAGCGCACCCGATAGTGCTGGTGCAAATTTTTTAAAAACATCGTATAAGTCATAATAAGCAATTTTGTTCTCAAATCAGGGAGGATGGCCGAGTGGTTATGGCGTGTGGCTCAAGATACGATCTCGTATTTTTCTGACTTAAAAATCAGTGAGACTTCTCATAGGGAAACCTGCAGGGGTTCGAATCCCCTTCCTCTCATCAAATCTTTTTTTTTTCTATTTTTTTTTTTGATTAATTTTTTTATTTGCGACTTGCTCGCTCGCTTAATTCATTATTCCCTTCGGCTATCCAGATCACATTAGTTATCTCTATCAACACTCTCCTGCTCATCAATATTCTCTCGCATGATTCATCTCGTGTGATGCCTCACTCCTAGGACCACTGCTCCAGTTCCAATTTGTACGTCTATCGCAATGGCGGTATTGCGCCAAACACCACTCCTATAACAGTGCTCACTGAAAAGAGAAGGGTCTTAGCCTTACTGTTCAATGTAGAGGGTTTAATCAACTCGATACAGAGGGGTGGTGCCGTGCCATTGTGGTGGTGGCATATTGTCGAATGAAGGTGAGGCTTCGAAGCTCGAGTACGCGTCGACGTCGACGGTTCAAAGGAAGGAAGATGGTGATTGCGATGACTTTATTGAGAGCTACTAGCCTGCATCTAGTAACGACAGGAGACGTTCTCTTGCAATTGAGCTATCGAGATTCGAAGTGCCTTGGTAGAGGGGTCGTTCGCGAGTGCGGGGTTCAGTCGATTTTCGGGCTGCGTAGGTAGGCTTGTTTGATCGGATTCGAGGGTATCCAGAAATTCGATCGATTGATTGAAAGTGCTACCATATAACAGACGCGCCAATAATACAGAATACCCTACACATAAACAGCAAGCTAGGACCTGGTCTTTGTTTATTGTGAGGTCTGTTATAACTCCTGGCCTTTGGCAGGACTCGAGCTTACCGCAAGGCACAAGAGATCACCAACCAACGTGCCCAACTCAGTACCCAGATCGTTCCGGACATTACAGCATTTAGAACGGCTGCCAAGAACCGTCCTCGAGCAGCGCTGAAAACATTTGTCGACCAAGCACGAAGATCTCCGACGAAGCTTGGCTCATCTATGATTGCCACTGCACGAAGGAAGCCGAACTACGATGCCAGTTGGAAGAGAATGCTCGTGAGGTCACCGTCGTGTATGAGCAAGAGTTTCACGTTCTAGAGGTAGCTGGAACTCTAGAGGCACTGGACGTATCATCCTCACAAGACTTGATGGATGAGGCCCGCACTGCCGTGAAGCAAATGATCGAGCTAGTTGGTCCAGACTCCTTAAAAAAAATAGCCACAGAAGCTCTAGGTGACCTCCCAACGACGCCTACCTCGTCTCACAGCGCAGAGCAAGCAGTGGACAACATTCACATTCCAGCGCACCTTATACTGGCATTCAGAAAACACCTACCGAAAGAAGCTGCAAAGATTGCCGACTGGACAGTGGATAGTGTCGTGGCTATGTTAAAGGATACACAAACAAATACAAGGCAGATCGAGCAGAGGCTGGCAGACTCCCAGGTTGATATTCCCGACTCGCAGGTGCAATCTCAGTGGACGCAAGCGATTTCTCCGGCTCGAGCCAATCTGTTACAGGCGCGACCGAAGCCAAAAGGCGACCTCAATTATGCTCTCTCCAAGCCAAATGTGTCAAGCCCTCTTGCTGCACCGAAGCGTAGACGGATGAACTCTCCACCGAACCAGCCTACGAGCGACGAGGGTGGAATAAATTTCCAACATTTGTTAAATGAACACTCCCAATGTCAATCAAATATAGAGCAGGCGAACCTCCGAAATGCGACACTAGAAGCCGAATGTACCAGCTTGAGAGCACAATTTCTTCACAACTACTACCTGAGGACTAGGCCCAGCCAGAGTTTAGTCACAGAATACGAATCATCTATCCAAAACGAAGTACCCATCGCAGACCTGACGCCAATGCAGCATCGCCAAACTCTACCTCTACGATTTGCAGACGACTTCTGTGACGCGCCGATGAAGCCCGCCAACTGTTACTCTGTGGGGTATCTATACTCTATAGCTCAAGACTACGATGAGAATCTCGATGACGATATGCTTTTGCCTGCTGATTCGCTATCCCTTCAGCATATACTGTGGATGTCTTCGAGGGTTCCACAAATCATTAGGACCAAGGACCCATACCAAATCCAGTTACTGATTCAATACGTGGAACAAATGATCATCCACCTCCCACACCGGTGTGTGCAGCAGCCCATCGTCGTCCACATGGTTTCCATGATCATGCAGATGGTAGTCATAGACTACCACGAATCACCTTGGATGCCTCTCCATCTCTCGCTTCAGGGTCAGATGGATGATTTGTGCGAGCACTGGGACGTACTTGGTCTTATTTGTATCTCGTGGTACTTGTCACTGGTTCCATCCAACGACATAGTCTTCCGGCAATTTCCAGAGTATATACAACGGTATATTAACGACCTGCGTACAACGCCGGCGTTGTACGACTTTCCATCTTTACTCTGTCACCAGGCAACAAAGGATTTTGTGATCTCACATCCGAGTGGCTTTCGCCTCATAGCTACCAGCGACGGAGACTGTAAGCTTGTTATTCTTTGTACTGCGGCTTGCATTGCCCTAGTATCACCCGCGGGGTACATTTGAATCCGGACCAAAAACTCAGCAGTCCATTTATCGCAGCGAGACGTTCAGTTAAAGATTATCCTAAACGAAGATGAGCCTGAGTTGCGAGTCTCGCGGCAATTGATGTTGATATGCCATGGTTTGCCGTAGCCCTGAAATCTCAACTCTCTCGCTACTTTAAATGGTTATATTTTTCCAGAGCCAAGCGGTAAGAGAAGGATGTTAACAACGTGCCGTCGTTGGACCTATCATAAATGCTTTTTGCTCTTATATCTCAGATGCCATCGATTTTGAAGATACTACCATCCGTCATCAAAAGTGAACTTGCTCTCTCTATCTGCGGCAAGATTCTCCTATCGGGGTCATCATCAAGTCATTGCGTTCGTTTGATACAGGCTTGGGTCTGCGCTTGCGTTCATGAAATTCAGATTGCCATCCGCGAATCGCCCACTGACCACGAAATGCTTGAAGAGATCTGCAAGGATCTGAATGCCTCGCTTTTCTGTATCGGGCAGGTCTTGCTGACTAGGTCCACATAGAATGTCGCGGTCACTGAGGACAACGAGACCTTCCTTACGCCGCGTGAATTAGACACAATGACGCAAGACATCAGCAAGCCACGCAAAGCTAAATGAGTCCTCGAAGCAGACTATACTATACCAAATATATCCGCTTTTTAATCTCTGAAAAGTCTCAAGCGTTGCAACATTGATCTTCATCTCTCGGAGCTCGGTACCTTAGCAATTGCCTCTCGCCATAAAGAATTTTGCTTAGTGAAAGGTGTAATGACGGTAACATCTCCAATCGGAATTGTAATGCCTTTGCTTCTGTTCAATCTGATCCAGCCATACAGAGATCGAATGCCATAATGAACTTTTGCCGAGTTACCCCGAGATGTGCCGTTTGCTCGATGAAAGTGTAAGCATTGTGCGCAAGAATCAAGACAGGAGATTTGATTCAGTAGTTGTCCATCTTTTCTTACTCCGACAGGAATTGTTGGAAGGTTGAACCTGATATATGCTCGCACTGAGGGCCATCGTGAACAACTCGAAGAGACGTGCACTGGCAGAGAGCCGAACACCAATGTTTATCGGAATTGAGCCATTGTAGAACATGATGTTAGGGGGACCCCAAAGGTCGGGTTCAACTCGCAACTGCTGGGGGACCATCCTATGTATTTGTTCTCAATGAGGACGGTGAGGAGAGGCTTCTTGAGTTGCAGACCGAAGGCATTGACGCGTTTGCTATTCTTGTACCTCTTGTGTATTGGTATTAACTGCTTCGGGTCTCCCACCACAATGAATGGTAGATTGCCTTTCCATGGAATCAAGTCATCCGGCAGAGTAAGGGAGCTAGCCTCGTGTACAACAACCCATTTGATCTCCTCGAAGTACTAACGCACCCACTTGAAGTTCACACGACCGTGGTGGTGAAAAGCACGTCACAGGCTGCGATGATTGCAATCGCTGCTGCCCGAGTCAGATGACCCATTAGATCCCTCTCGTCATCAGTTCGCTCTGCTCATGGGTATGGCAGGACGCGACAGGGATCTTCGTATTCTTCGCGAAGGGCAACTAGCTTCGCATTATTTGTAGGAAGAGCACCGGAGAGTTGAATAATACTCTTGATGAGACTCCCAACTTTTCGTCACGCTTGTTTGTAGCGTAGTACGAAAAGGGTGACTTGGGTCAAACCGGAGCGAAGTGTTGATCTCTATGTCTTCTCGATGCAAGCGTACAAAAAGGTACTTATCACTAATGCTCGCATCTTCCGCGCAGCTACAGATATTGTTCACGTCTGTATTAGTCGAAGAAGTAACAATGCCTCGTTTCCTTTAGCGTAACTAGGCCATGATGATCCGAATGGTCCATTTGGTCTTGCTAGTGCCTACTGCTCCAATGATTGGGAGCACACCGAGAAGAGCACGGCGCAAGATCTTCATTAGTCAACGACGTTGAAATAGCGTACAAATAGAAAAGATGTCCGTCCATGCCTTCTTATGTGAGATTTCAAGGAAGTCGTGCCAAGTGGGATTGGAAACGCCATTTCCAAAGAGGAAGGCTGGCGCATTAGTCGCCACCACAGTGCGAAGCCAGGCTTTTGGCAAAGTGTATATATGAATTGACGATGATCCTAACTGGCGGTGAATGAGGATATATATACACAGTGTGTACTACGTGACCGTGATGCTCGCCACAGTCAACAACCTTCGCAACGAATGGGACACTCTCTCCCTTCTCATAATTTATCCCGTCAACGTCGTAGAGCGTTTAATGAGGCTGCACTGCAACCGTGCCGATCAATCATAAGATCTGGCACTGAGAGTCAAATACGAGGGTAGAGGACTTCGCTGACGAATGAGCTCGGAAATATCTAACGGGGCAAAAGGGTAGAAGGAAAGGTAGGATGAGATTAGTGGAACTTCCACCGGGTGATATTGCGTTGCAGGTCAATTTAGAATTAGGAAGTGCAGCCAATCAAGAATACAAGTTTTATCAAGCTTGAGATGATATCCGCTTGTACTGTACAACAGGGGAGG